GGGGATGGGCGGGGCGGGCTCGGTTCCGGAAATAGTTGACCCGGCCGGGTGGGCCCGGGTCCGGGTCCATCGGTCACATTTAAAAAAAAATGGACTTTTGGGCCAAACTAGCCGTTGGGGGGGTGGGCTGGGGACAACCCAAACGGCTATATAGCCGTTGGGTGGGCTTCAGGGGGTCCGGGGGGTTTGGGGGTGGGGGTGGGGGTAAAAAAACCTATAAATAATCATAATCTAAAACATTTTTTCATATCTCTTCTCCAATTCTTCCTAAATCCTATTCTTAACTCTCTACTCTCTAATTCTCTTATTCTCCAATATATTATATTTATATATCTACTTTATATTAATTATCTACTTATAATTTATAAATACATACATTATATTACTTATATTTCTTATCTAATTATATATTACTTATACATTTATTATATCTATTAATAAAGTTGAAATTATATCTAATTAATTTGAAGTCATTCTATTACTCCCATCCGAAAGACCGAAAGTCCGAAAGAGGTACGAAATCATTCTATTATTTACACTTGTTTAATTTTGTATTAACGTTACTTGAAAAAATAATTAGTTAATTCTCATAATAGTTAAAGTTAAACTATAATAATTTGATTGTTAGTAAAAAAAAATAGGTTGTACAAAAAACTAGTTGTAATTCTCATTATAGTTAAAGTTAAAGTGTATTAATTTCATTGTTAGTAAAAAAAATAGGTTGTACACAAAACTAGTTAATTCACTAGTTAATTTGATTAAAGTAAACTTTAAAATACTAATTTGCTATAACTCGAATTAATAGTTAGATTAATAGTTAATTACTTTATTACAATTTTTATTAATTGCTACCTTTGACTCTAGTTTAAAAAACTAGTTAATTCTCATTATAGTTAAAGTTAAAGTATATTAATTTCATTGTTAGTACTAAAAATAGGTTGTACACAAAACTAGTTAATTCACTAGTTAATTTGATTAAAGTAAACTTTAAAATACTAATTTGCTATAACTCGAATTAATAGTTAGATTAATAGTTAATTACTTTATTACAATTTTTTATTAATTGCTACCTTTGACTCTAGCTTAAAAAACTAGTTAATTCTCATTATAGTTAAAGTTAAAGTATATTAATTTCATTGTTAGTAAAAAAAATAGGTTGTACACAAAACTAGTTAATTCACTAGTTAGTTTGATTAAAGTAAACTTTAAAATACTAATTCAGTTGCTGTAGAACGAGGTTGAGCGCAGAATCTCTTGAGATGCTTATATGCTACCACGATTGGTTGAAAGCGACCCGTAGAGCTCAAGAAATTGACATCACCCATCCCAACACTTTATGAATGAATCTACAACCGAGAGTGGCTCTAGCTATGTCGGAGATTCCGATTGAATGATTGATTAGTATTTCATGTTTTAATTTTACCTTCAATTCTCAATTGTAACTTGTAAACTTGTAGTTCATATTTTAAATAAATATACGTTCATTTTTTTATATGTAGCATTTTTTACTGAATTCATAAAAATTAATTAATTAATTTTACATTATGTAATTTATTCAAACTAAAACATACAAAAAAAATTGAAATCAAAAGCCCCAAACGGCTATATAGCCACTTTGATAGTTTGGTTGTTTGAAATTTGAATCAATAGAGGCATAGAGCTGTTGGGGGTGGGGGTGGGTGGGGGTGAGGGTACAAAAAATTCTATAAATACTCTTATTTTCTAACATTTTTATACACATCTTCTCTAATATCATATCTCTAATCTCTATTCTCCGTCTTCATCTCCATCTATCGTAGAATTATTATATCTACCATTTTTAAGATGGAAAGTCAATATGCCGTTATACGGTATAATTTTGATAAGAAGAAGGACCTGAGGACCGGGATGTGGTATGCAACTTGCAAATGGTGCGGGAAAAAAATGTAGCATGAGGGTTTCAGGCGGATACGGGATGACAATGAAGCATATTAAGTCATTTGACAAAGCCAAAGGATCGGGAGGTGCGGTAAGTTCCGATTGATTACAATTTACAAAATGTATTTCATATTGTATGTTTCTCTTAATTTTCAAATGTAGTTCCTATTTCATTTCTAATAAATGCACTTGAAGTTTGTTTTTAATACTTGTATAAATATATAAAGTATAAATTATATTAAAAAAAATAGTTTTAACCGGCCTGGCGGGTGGCCCGAACCCGTGACCCGGGCGGGTGGCCCAGCCCGAACCGGACCCGTCCAAACCTCGGGCCGGTTCCGGGTCCATGTGTTACAAACCGGCGGCCCGACCGGGCCCGACCTGGCCCGAGTCCATGCCTAATATGACCCATCACCACCAATTTAGCAACCTAATAGTGGTATACATAGCTGGCTGAGTTCTTCCTCTCGTGTTCAAAGCAGAGTCTAAGTTTGCAATGTGTACACATTGCAAAACCATCTAACTCTGTTATTGGAAACCATGATGTCTTTTTTATGGATGTTTAGTAGCCATTATATTTTAATTTCCAATATGATTAGCTTTGATTGTTTATTCATTCTCTGAAATGTACCCAACATGAAGGTTAATGGAGTTTTCATTTTCCCATTTTTGTGTAGGTAAGTTCTTTTTTAAATATGTATGTGGTAACATCACATTGACTTTCACTATCCCAATGAGAATAAGGAGATACTCAAACCTTACTTGAATGCAACATATACTTAATACATTGACACCGATTTTCAAAATTGTAGAAGTGTCATGGCGCAATGAGGTGCAAGCTTTAGTTTTTGTACAAATGCATAGATATCACTTAAAATAATATTTTTATGGTATTGGAAACTATAATTTGAATGGTCTTACAAAGTGTCTTTTTATTAGGGTATACAGTTTTACGGGTTATAACTAAGGTCATATTTGTGTCTTTAAAATTAATTAAATATGAATTATGAACGTTGGTATTTAAACTTATATATTGTAACTTAATAAGATTGTACACTTATAGGAATAATTAATAAACAAAATAAGATTGTAACTTAAAGACCAGTTTTGTTTAAAGTTAAATTTCTGGTTTCCGTTCGACTAACCCGCTCCACAATGGACCATCTTCTCCAGTTATTGAAGCTGTGAAGAGGTGAAGTGGGAGAAGAAGAGTGGTAAAACCAAGGCTCGCTTAAAGATCAAAACTTCTTCCGCAATGGAGAAACCGAATGAGTCGCCACCGATAGATGACTATTCACCCGCAAATACACTCATTACTTTCAAAGAGCCGATCCCTTTGCTACGCGGACCCGTCAGTACCGAGCCAAAGGAAGGCGAACCAAGCGCCGGTCGCTCATTCACCCTCGCTTTCCGGGACCCATTTTCTTGGGAGTCTGCTTTCCGCACCTGCAAGCACCAAATCACTCAGCAATGCGAAGCTGGGGTCAGAATCGGCTGCTCCATTGCCGCCTCCCACAAATGCCAGCCTCCATGGTGGAAAGCTCTAATCGGCGGCGGAGTTTCCAAACATGATTTCGCCGAGAGGCAAAAATGCGAAGAGCTAGAAATGGAGGCTTGCCTTAGAGAGGCCAAGGAGAAATGCGTTGGATACGCGAGGGACAAGTGCTTGCGAGCATTTCTAGATGCGAGGATTTGCGTTACAGGTGCGAAAAACCCTAATTTGAACTGGAAAGAAGTGTCGAGGTTAATTTCTTGTGTAAACTTGGCTGATAAGAATTTAGGCACTGATTTATTGAGATTACAGAGGCCATGGGTTGATTTCAAGACTCAATTAGAAGTGACTTGTAGAGGTAGAGATTTATTGGGCCCTGATACTGCAAATTTCGATGATTTCTAGAAGCCCACAATGTTCAAGTTTCAATCTTTAATTGCAGTGTTGCCTTTTTGTTGGACTGGATATATTGGGTCTGAAGAGATTACATTGACCCAGATATGGGGAGTTTAATGAAAGCTCTTTATGTTTCTTTTAGTTTATTGATGTGATGTGTAATGTTTAGCTTATATGATGCCAACCTTGATCTAAATTGCTATGTAACCTGTTACCACTTACTGAATACTGACTAACCAGCCTGACTACTCCATGGTTGTAACTTGTAAGGAAATGAAATTGCTAGAAGCTCATAACTAGGGTATATTTGGACCCCGTAAAATACTATGGAATTGGAAACAAATGCTGAAGAAAGTTACATGTATTTAGGTTGCATAATATAACCCCTGTTTACCTCGAAAATTGCAAATGAAACATGTTTAATTTTGTTAAAGAGGTGTATATATGCTCTTTCTGTTCTTAAGTGAATGCAAAATGTAAAATTTTACACTATTCAAATGTTCTACTTTGATTACATTTGTATTAATGCATTAGAAATTTGATTGAAAAAAATATGCTTAAACTCCCCTCATTTTAAATTTTTAAAATTTGAATTTTGTAATTTTTCACTAATAAAGGGTGAAATATATCAATGGTCAAAGTTGTGTGTTGCCAAACGCGAAATTGGAAATGTGACAATTAAAAAAGAACGAAGGAAGTATATGATAGACTGATAGTCATCATAATATAATTGACATTAATGATCAGAATGAGTATCAATGAATATCTAAAATATATTTATTATTTTATAGGGTATTTTTTAGAATTTCCCACAATCTATTTCCATTCAATTTGCATTACGTTTTCCTGTCTTTTTTCTTTCTCTAGTATTTTTTGGGATCTAAACTGACATTGGGAGTTGCAGTGCATGGAGCTATGGCATTTGAACTTATGTATTCATCGGTTCTATGGATTAGCATGAAGAAAATGTGTTTTATTAATGTGTTTTGTTTTCAAGATAGATATACTTGTATGTATATACTTGTTCAGATAAGTGGAATAAGAAGAATATGGACTTAACGCAAGTGTCTAAGAAGAGCCAAATCTGAGCCACTTGCTTGTGGACCCTGAATGGCATAAGTCATTTCATGTAATTGGGTAAGGACCAACTTCTCATATAGCAGACAAAATGGTAGGATAGAGACCTTTCCCTACAAGTGTATTCATCATCCTCAAGAAGCCATTTCATTCTTCTCTTCTTTGATAAACTTTACAAAACCAAAACATATATGGTCATGGCCACCTCAGCTATAGCTCCATTTTATCACGCTTCTTCAACTGTAAAACTACTTTCTGAATCGCCTGATCTCAACTCCATCCCATGTGACTATATTCAGTCAACTAGTCCGGATGAATCCCTTGAGGATTCAAAATCGATCCCCATAATTGACTATTCCCACATCATCTCTACTCACAGTAACCAAAGGTATAAGGCCATCGAAGCCCTTGGCAGGGCTTGTGAAGAGTGGGGTTTCTTCATGGTACATATCACTGCTGTTATACTTCTTCTTTCCTGCAAAATCTTTTATTTTCATTTTGGGAATTTTAGGATAAGTTTATATCTTGGACATACTAGGGAATGGGAACATGCAAAGCAATGCTATTTTATTGTTCTTGGGTTCACTGCAGTAAATATCATCATCATTTAGCCCAGTGCCGCAAAGGCTCCCACCTACAGTGGGGTAGGGGGGGTCGGATGTACGCAGTCTTACCCCTGTCCTAAAGCACAGAGAGACTGTTTCCGGATGACCCATAGTGAAAATCGCGTCCAAAATTGCATGGACTGACTGCTGCTTCATAACAAAGAAGCGCAGACAGTTTAGTGAGCCATTTTGCTTTATTCCATCATATTCTCAAGCCAAAAAATGGTGAATCTTTGGCTCCACTGCAGTAAATGCAGAATAAAATAAAATATGATTGATTTTTTCATATTTTTACATATGAATAGCATTCTTAGTGTGTCATATAACTGAAATTGATAAATAAAAATGAGTTTGGTTGAATTTCAGAAATAAATTTATTGAGTTTGAATAAAACCTATTTCCTTGAGGTTTTATTTCATTTCGAGTTTCCACTTTATTTTCTTCCCTATTTTCTTTTCCTATGATTTCCCAAGTTCCAAACTGATGCTTACAAAAATTGGACTATTACCTGCACTTTATTATCTCTTTGGTGGATGGTGATCTCAGGTGGTAAATCATGGTATCCCGGAAAGTTTGATAAGGGCAATGATTCAGGTCACTTGTGATTTTTTCAACATGACTGAGGAGAAGAAGCAGCAGTTTGAAGGAACACATGTTTTAGATCCAGTGAGGTGTGGGACCAGCTTCAATGCCTCAAAAGAGAAAGCGCTCTTCTGGAGAGATTTTTTGAAGGTCTTTGTTCATCCTGACTTTCACTGCCCCTCTGATCCCCAGGCTTTAAGGTAATTTTATTTCTCATTAATCATAATGTGTGCTGTTGCTTAACTTTAGCTTGTTTAATTGTTTATTATTTGTGTTTCCATTCTGCAATAGGCAAATCCTAGAGGGGTGATCAGTGACTGTCAATAGTTAGAACTTAGAATTGTTAAAACTTGGTAGCTTAAGAGCTGATATGATATTTATATTGAATATCACCACACAATAGATTGTACGGGTGGATAAAGAATAAAAAGAAGGGGACTGCGGGAAGTTTAATTGTTTCTAGCTTTGCCTTCTAAAAAATTTGAAAACCACTTTCTGTTTTAATCTAAACAGATAATCATTTGTTGAATAAATTAGAAGGGAATTTAAAAATGCTTATTTGGTATTACAATTTCTTATAATACCAAGTCATGGATTTTTTAAATAAAATTATGTCGAGTATATAATCATGAATATCTTATTTTCAGAGTAATAAGATAATCGTTCTTCTGGAGATGCAAAGCTAGAAGATAGATACGTAATCTGGCATAATGAAAAAGTAACCATCTATTTTCTAACGAAGAGTGTGATCGGGTCAGCTAAGATAAAAGTACTTATTTCTTATTCTTATCTCTCCAGTTTTGGACACGAGGGAAGGGAAATATCAGTGGATTTCACTGCCCTCTTACATTTTGTATCACCCGAAAGGAAAGAGTATCAAAATTCCTCCCTTTTCCTACCTTACTTTCTATTTCGCTCAAACCAAACAAATGCTAACTGATATTGTGTTCTAAAACTAAAATGTGAGAACTATGGCGGGCAACATGGGCCGCAGATTGATTTTTGGGTTCAGTTATCTTTGGTTTAAAGCAGGAGATCTACAAACCAAACTTCATTGGGCTCGGTTTCAATTTGGTTTTAGTTTTGAGTTTGTTGTTTTATTGAAAGTGGTAACGAATAATTATTTAGTTCAGTTTGGTCAAACCGAATCGAAATGCCAACCCTCTATAAAAACAGATCATCTACTTTTGCAGGGATCTTATGTTGGAATATTGTGAAAATAGCCGTGACGTGGCGAAGAAATTACTAGGGGCGATACTGGAAAGTCTGGATTTGGAGGAGTGTTCCATCCATAATGTTTTGGGGTTGGACTGTATGTTTCAAATCTTCATAGCAAATTACTACCCACGTTGCCCGCAGCCTGAGCTAGCAATGGGCTTGCCACCACACTCGGACCATGGCCTTCTAACTCTTCTCATAGAGAATGGTGTGGGAGGGTTGCAAATAATGCATCAAGGAAAATGGGCCAATGTCAATGCCCTTCCCAACTCCCTTCTGGTTAACACCGGTGACCATCTTGAGGTAATTTACGTGCTCAAAACCTGGGAACTGCCAAGCACCTCAAAACGAGGTTCCAAGTCTTTTAGGCTACCCCTATTGATGTTGAACTTATGATAGAACATAAAGTATTAATATTATATTAGAGAATATTAAGCTCAAACGAGCAATTCCTTACAACAACAATGCATATGAAAACTTTGGGCTATTATTCGCATTAATGCAAACTTTTTAGGATAACATGAGTACATTATGAGGTGCTTGTTTCTGCTAATTAAACTAATTCTGCTGTTTTCAAACAACTGCAACCAGAAGAATTAGTTTTCAAAGAACCCCCCCCCCCCCCCCCCAGGATAATTGTTGAAGTAATCTTGTCATGCCACAAAATCAGCTTGAGATATCAATTCTCTCTGCAACAGAAGTTTTAATTCTGATACTTAGAACCAGAACCATGTTATTTATTTTCCCAAACATCAGTTTGATTATGTATTTCCAGCAAAATACTATTCTTTACTGGAAAGCGATAACATGATGTTGATTATACCTAGGCAGATATTGAGTAACGGGAAATATAAGAGTGTGGTGCACAGAGCTGTGGTAAATAACAAAGTGACCAGAATATCAATCGCCACAGCACATGGTCCGTCACTAGAGGCAACTGTGAGGCCAGATTCTAATATGGTAGAGAGGACAAGCAGCCGACCCGCTTACAGTCCAATGAAGTACAAGGACTACTTGTATTCCCAGCAGAGTAATCAACTTGATGGGAAATCTTGTTTGGATCATGTAAGGATTCTGAAGAACTGAAGTGTTTTTGGATTGATATGTATTTCAATAATAATTGTCTTGTGTAATATTCGTATTTCCATGTGGTTCCATCATTTCCAATTAAGCCAAAGACTCACTATTTTTTTGCTTTTTAATTTGATGGAATAAAACAAAATTAGTCACTAAACTGTTAACGCTTCTTTGTTTTAAAGCAGCAGTCGGTCTATGTAATTTTCGACACAAATTTCATCATGGGTCATTCAGAAATAGCCTCTATGTGCTTTAGTACAAGGGTAAGGCTACATACATCGACCCCCTTTACCCCACCATAGCTGGGAGTCTTTGCAGCACTGAGGTAATGTTGTTGTTAATGTCCATGTGGGAATAAGAACAACCATTGTTAGAATTCATCCATGAAATGTGGATGAAAATGAATAATTGTGCCTATGTTTTTGCTGCATTATGTTTCATAATGTTATTCTGGTGTGAGGATACCTTACCATTCTCACAGACATAAGTGTTATCTTCAACTATGAAAGTCTTACATTTTGATCCGATCTCACAAGTTTTGGCTTTGAAGTTGTCATTCACATTCAACGAGAGGTGAACCGGTTGAAAAGAAGGGGAAGGGGTGAATGTGAAATTGAAGCAACGAAGACAATTTTTCAAATATTCAGAAATAAATAATTATGTGACTGGGATTTGTGTAGGAGAGAAAACAATATAAATCACGAATTTGTTTCTGTAGAAGTGAAATCTTTAGTTTTTTCACAAATAAATTAGAAAAAGCAGACGAACCTTTTACAATGTGAGAATGTGTCTTTAACTTCTACATAATATTTAGCATCTCTGTTTTACAATTTAGTTCACTTATTTGGAAGGTTGAATTATGTAGTTTAGTTCTTTGATACTTCGAAGTTTTGTTTAGATTTATCATCCCTTGTTTTCAGGTCATCCCTAGATCATCTTCACTTTTTTATTGAATAGGTTACAATTTGATTGCAATTGGTTAATCAGTTAATTTTTATTTTTTGTTGATCAAGTGACATTTCAGATAACGTGGAAGATAAATGATAATCAATCACAAATTCTGACTGAGAATAGATAGAGTTAATAACCAGTCACACATTTTGAGTTATCTTGCAAGAGTTAATCTAACCTTTAAAGCCATAGAACGTGTCATTACATACTGTTAGGGATGGATTCGGGCCGGGTCGGGCCCGGGCCGGGCCTAGGCCCGGTCGGGCCGCCGGTTCGTATCACATGGGCCCGGGACCGACCCGAGGGTTGGACGGGTCCGGTTCGGGCCGGGCCACCCGCCCGGGTCACGGGTCGGGCCACCCGCCGGGCCGGACCGGGCCGGGTCGGTTAAATATTTTTTTTTTTAATTTATATTTTATACTTTATAGTTTTATACAAGTATTAAAAAACAAACTTCAAGTGCATTTATTTGAAATGAAATAGGAACTACATTTGAAAATTAAATAGAAACTATAATTGTTTTTAATCGGAATCTCCGGCATAGGTAGAGCCACCCTCTGTTGTAGATTCATCCATAAAGTGTTGGGATGGAGTGATGTCAATTTCTTGAGCTCTACGTGGTGCTTTCAACCAATCGTGGTAGCATATAAGCATCTCAAGAGATTCAGCGCTCAACCTCGTTCTGGTTTGTGTTAGAACATTGCCGGCCGAACTAAATTCTTGTTCCACGGCAATCGTTGAAACCGGCATTGATAGCACTTGCTTAGCCATCTTTGCTAAAACCGGGAACATTCTTTCTTTTCCCTTCCACCAGTTTAGTACGTCAAAATCATCATATTCTTCAAAATCAACATCATAAGTTAAATACAAAGAAATCTCATTAATTGTGCTTTGTTGTGTAGCGGGAGTTGATTTTGTTTTTTTAATAAGATTGGCAAACGTAGATTTCAAAATTGATTTTCCTTTAGATGATGTTTGTGTCGGGGGAGGGGGCGCATTGCCATATTGTGCATGAAACTCATTGAATAATGCATAAAATATATCACTAACCTCGTTGTATTCTTTTTTCGGATCAATTGGGTTGTCCTCATACATCGGCAGAGGACCAAAAAAAAGCAGCATAATAATAATTCAAACATTCTTCTAAAGAACCAAGTCTAAAACGAGGATCGAGAACAAATGCAATACCATAAATATGTGGAATATGTGAATAATATTTTAAAAACTTTTCCTTCATAAAACCAGCAAAATAACTCACATAATCAGCATTCTCAAAATTTGAAAAAGCACCGACGAGATTAACAGCTTCACGAATAAATAGGTTTGAGGTAGGTTTATAAACATGACTAAAAGTTTCAGTTGCATTATTAAAATATATCAAAGCATTACAAATTTTTTCACATGTGTCGATCTCAGCCGAGTTTATAATATAGTTATTATATTGTTTCATAAAAGCAGGAAAATGTTGTTTATATCTAAGAAGAACTCCAATTAACTTATAGGTACTATTCCAACGAATAGATAAATCTTTTGGAAAAGCCACATATCTCTCACCTCTTTCTAACTTACAAATCTTTTTTTACCCCCCACCCCCCACCACCACCACCCCCCACCAGCCAACCCCCCCGGACCCCCCCTTTACCCCACCCAACGGCTATATAGCCGTTTGGGTTGTCCCCAGCCCCACCCCCAACGGCTAGTAGCCCAAGAGCCCAAACAATTTTTTTTTTAAAATAAGACCGGACCCGGGCCCGGGCCCGACCCGGCCGGGCCGGGTCACATTAATCCAGCACCGAGCCCGCCCCGCCCATTCCCACCGGTTCGGGTCCATACCCGGTCCCGGACCGCCCGACCGGGCCGGTCCCGGGCCCGCACAGTACTGGGCCGGGCCGGGTCACGGGCCGGGTGGCCCGAACCGAATCCAACCCTACTTACTGTCATGGCCTCATGGGATGTGGTTTAGTGACGTGCTATTTTAACCTCCATGTCAGCAGAGTCTGACATATTTGGTGACCCGTTTTTCGTAGAGCTTATTTAGTGATCCTATTTTTATAGAGCCTATTCAGTGATTTTGTTTTTTTTGGCTAATCGGGTTTATTTATTTATCTTTTCTTCTAACATGTACTCCCTCTGTCCCGTTGGAATGTTCCCGCTTTCTTTTTTTGGATGTCCCGTTGGAAAGTTCCCATTTTCCTAAATGGAAAGTTATCCTACATCAAAACAGGGTCAAACAGTGCAAAACAGTGTCAAACAGTGTCGAAACAGTGCCAAACGGTGTCGAAACAGTGTCAAAACAGTAAAATTTACCCCCTGATAAGTTAATTTCCTTAATATGTGTGTAGGTCAAACCGGGAATATTCCAACGGGACAGAGGGAGTAACTTTTAGTTTCACATGTTGAATTGTGTAATAATCAAAATAAGTAAAGTTGAAGCTACTTTTTTTGTTGAATTGATTGAAGTTATTGTAGATGTTTATTTTAGTTATTTTTCCATATAACTTTTTCTTTAATTTATTAATAAAATATATTTCAAATATAATTTTTTCATAAATTTGCATAATCTGCCAATCCAGTCATCGCAGACAGAACTTCCTAAATTTCAGCAGAATCAACCGATTATGCCAATTTCAGTGTAATCAAACGGGCACTGAGTATTAACAAATAGTAGGCGTGTGTTTTAAGGATGTTTTTATTTGAACTTATTTTAGTCTCAAGCCTGATAAGATCAGACCAGATTAGTTCATATCAAATCAGATCAGACCACAGTAGATTTCGACAATTGTAAAACACACATTTACCAGACACTTACCAATTCAGTTCATACTAGATCAGACCAGATCAGAAAATTTCAATCCAAATAAAAACATCCTAATAATAATACACTACTGTGACTACTCCCTCCGTAACAAAAATATCTTCCCACTTTGAAAGCACGTAGATTATGAATAGTGAAAGGTAGGGATGGACCAGGCCCGGTTTGGGTCGGACCTTGGGTCGGGATTGGGGCGAGACTTGGTTTTTGGGATGAAGGCCCGGTACCGGCCCAAGTTGGAATCGGGTCTAGGTCAGGTCTAGGTTTTCTTGAAAAAAAATTGGTTTTTTCTGATTTATTACTATCCCCCACCCCCACCCCCCAAAACCACCTACCCCTACCTATCTAGTAGCCAAACCATGCGAAAACAAAAAATGGGCCCGGGCCGGTCCACCAAATCAGCATCCCGTAGCCCGCCCCAAAATCCCACGGTTCGGGCCTCCAGTCTCGGTCGGCCCGGCCGGTCCGGGTATTGGGTCGGGCCGAACCGGCCCAGTTCATCCCTAGTGAAAGCGGATATAAATTATTGAGGGTGTGATGGGAAGATAGTGGAATAGTGTACTCTGATGAAATGAAGAATAAAAAAAATATAGTTGTAATAGAGTATTAATTTAAAAATTATTGAAAGTATGGTGGTAAGGTTTAGAAATAGGAAGCTTATTTACTTACGGATGAAAAAGAAAAGTAAAAAAATCTTTTTGTTATGAAGGTAGTACCCCAAATACATATTTTATTGAAATAAGTTCTTTTTGAAAGAAATAAACTGCCTTGTTGACCTACAACTCACGGAAAGAGTTAGGACACCAGATACATATAATAGCCTCGCTTCATGTACACGGCATTTTACACGCTATTATATACGCCGGTGAAGATGTATGTGTACAAACAATTTGATCGGTGTTTTATGAAGAAAATTGATTTCCACTCAGACCAAAAAACAATTTGTCTGTATCACAGACATTTTAAACGAGATTTTTTCTCAAATTGTATGTGATATGGACAATTTGACTGGTTTTTTATGAATAAAATCGGTTTTCACACAGACAAAAAAATTGTCTGTATCACAAACATTTTAAACAAGAATTTTTCATAAAATGTATGTGACACGGACGATTTTAAACGAGAATTTAAAACAAGAATATAGAAATGTCTTTAATACAAACAATTTTTTTATTGTCTGTGTGAAAATCGATTTTCTTTATAAAATGCCGGTCAAATTATCGGCGTGTATAATGACGTGTACAAGGTGCTGTATACAAAGAGCATTTTTCTACATATCAAGAGATCAAACAGGCACTTTTCTTCTGACTTCTTTAAATAGAACTAAACTGCTAAAGTAATGTGGCCGGGTGAGTTGTTTATCAAGTCCATCAGGGATTTTTTTAAGGGGAGATTTCAACAAAT